GAGGCGCTGGATGGTGAGGATGACGATGATGATGATGATGATGGTGACGATGATGATGAAGGTAATGGTGATGAAGGTGATGATGATGAAGGTGAAGGTGATGATGATGCTGCTGCTGATGATGGTGATGATGAAGGTGGTGATGGTGATGATGATGATGGTGATGATGGTGATGATGATGGTGATGATGATGATGGTGGTGATGATGATGATGGTGGTGATGATGATGTTGAAGGTGATGATGATGGTGATGATGATGATGGTGGTGATGATGATGATGGTGGTGATGATGATGTTGAAGGTGATGATGATGGTGATGATGATGATGGTGGTGATGATGATGATGGTGGTGATGATGAAGGTGATGATGATGGTGATGAAGGTGATGATGGTGATGATGATGATGGTGGTGATGGTGATGATGATGATGATGGTGATGATGAAGGTGGTGATGGTGATGATGATGGTGATGGTGATGATGATGATGATGAAGGTGATGAAGGTGATGATGATGATGATGATTATGAAGGTGATGATGATGGTGATGATGGTGAAGGTGGTGATGATGATGATGATGAAGGTGATGAAGGTGATGATGATGGTGATGGTGATGATGGTGATGGTGATGATGATGATGATGATGAAGGTGATGATGATAATGATGATGATGATGATGATGATGATGAAGGGGATGATGATGACGATGATGATGATGATGGTGATGATGATGGTGATGATGATGATGATGATGATGATGGTGATGATGAAGGTGATGATGATGATGATGATGATGATGACGATAATGACGATGATGATGCTGCTGATGATGAAGGTGATGGTGATGATGAAGGTGATGGTGATGATGAAGGTTATGATGGTGATGATGATGATGGTGATGATGATGATGATGATGACGGTGATGATGATGATGATGATGATGATGATGATGCTGATGAAGATGATGATGATGATGATGATGATGCTGATGAAGGTGATGGTGATGATGATGATGGTGATGATGATGATGATGATGATGATGAAGGTGCCGGTGATGCAGGTGCCGGCGCCGCCCAGCCTGGGCCCCACAAGCGCTCGCTGCTGCTGGAGCAGTTGCCCCCCCCCGCGCTGGCCGCGCTCTTCACGAGGCTGGAGCAGCGCAACCTCAACCGCGTCCGCGTGAGCGCGCACGACCCCTCCCCCCCTCCCCCATCCCCCCCCTCCCCCTCCCCCCATGGCGATGTGGGGGTGGGGGTGGGGGGGTCCTGACCCCGCTCCCCCGCAGCTTCGGGACCTCCGCAGCTTCTCGCGGCTCGGGGGCGCCGGGGGCAGTGCCGCGCTCCGCCGCGTGGTGGCGCTCAGCAACGCCCAGGCCCGCTGGGCGCAGCTCCTCGTGCTCGGCCCCACCGCGGCCCCACAGAGAGCCCGAGCCATGGCCCGGCTCCTGCAGCTCGGGCAGGTGAACCGAGGGAGCGGACCCATAGGGAGCTGACCCATAGACCTGACCCATAGAGCTGACCCATAGAGCTGACCCATAGAGCTGACCCATAGGGAGCTGACCCATAGGGAGCTGATCCATAGGGAGCTGACCCATAGGGAGCTGACCCATAGGGAGCTGACCCATAGAGCTGACCCATAGGGAGCTGACCCATAGGGAGCTGACCCATAGAGAGCTGATCCATAGGGAGCTGACCCATAGAGCTGACCCATAGGGAGCGGACCCATAGAGAGCTGACCCATAGAGCTGACCCATAGAGAGCTGATACATAGGGAGCTGACCCATAGGGAGCTGACCCATAGAGCTGATTCATAGGGACCTGACCCATAGAGAGCTGACCCATAGAGCTGACCCATAGAGAGCTGATACATAGGGAGCTGACCCATAGGGAGCTGACCCATAGAGCTGATTCATAGGGACCTGACCCATAGAGAGCTGACACATAGGGAGCTGACCCATAGGGAGCTGACCCATAGGGAGCTGACCCATAGGGAGCTGATCCATAGGGAGCTGACCCATAGGGAGCTGACCCATAGGGAGCTGACCCATAGAGAGCTGACCCATAGAACTGACACATAGGGAGCTGACCCATAGGGAGCTGACCCATAGGGAGCTGACCCATAGAGCTGACCCATAGGGAGCTGACCCATAGAGAGCTGACCCATAGGGAGCTGACCCATAGGGAGCTGACCCATAGGGAGCTGACACATAGGGAGCTGACCCATAGAGCTGACCCATAGAGAGCTGATACTTAGAGAGCTGACCCATAGAGCTGACCCATAGAGCTGACCCATAGGGAGCTGATCCATAGAGAGCTGACCCACAGAGCTGACCCATAGGGAGCTGACCCATGGGGAGCTGATCCATAGAGCTGACCCATAGGGAGCTGACCCATAGAGCTGACCCATAGGGAGCTGACCCACAGAGCTGACCCATAGAGAGCTGACCCATAGAGCTGACCCATAGGGAGCTGAACCATAGAGCTGACCCACAGGGAGCTGACCCATAGAGCTGACCCATAGAGCTGACCCATAGGGAGCTGAACCATAGAGCTGACCCATAGGGAGGTGACCCATAGAGAGCTGACCCATAGAGCTGACCCATAGGGAGCTGAACCATAGAGAGCTGACCCATAGAGCTGACCCATAGGGAGCTGAACCATAGAGCTGACCCACAGGGAGCTGACCCATAGAGCTGACCCATAGAGCTGACCCATAGGGAGCTGAACCATAGAGCTGACCCATAGGGAGGTGACCCATAGAGAGACCTGACCCATAGAGAGGTGACCCATAGAGAGCTGATCCATATGGACCTGACCCATAGAGAGACCTGACCCATAGAGAGCTGACCCACAGGGAGCTGACCCATAGGGAGCTGACCCATAGAGCTGACCCATAGAACTGACCCATAGGGAGCTGACCCATAGGGAGCTGATCCATAGGGAGCTGACCCATAGGGAGGTGACCCATAGAGCTGACCCATAGGGAGGTGACCCATAGAGCTGACCCATAGGGAGCTGACCCATAGGGAGCTGACCCATAGAGCTGACCCATAGAGCTGACCCATAGGGAGCTGACCATGGGGAGCGGACCCATAGGGAGCTGACCCATAGAGCTGACCCATGGGGAGCTGACCCATAGAGCTGACCCATAGGGAGCTGACCCACAGAGAGCTGACCCATAGGGAGGTGACCCATAGGGAGCTGACCCATAGGGAGCTGACCCACAGGGAGCTGACCCATAGAGACCTGACCCATAGAGAGACCTGACCCATGGATACAGAGACCTGACCCATAGAGACCTGACCCATAGAGACCTGACCCATAGTCTGGCCCCATGAGAGAGAGGCCTGCCCATAGAGAGACCTGACTCAGAAACCTGGCCCCTAGAGAGACCTGCCCCATAGATAGAGAGACCGACCTCATAGACGTGCCCCAGAGACCTGCCCCAGAGACTTGCCCTGTACAGACAGACCCGACCCATAGATACACAGCCCTGCCCTATAACCCTGCCCCCCGGCAAGCCCCACAGCCCTCCAGCCCTGCCCCACAGCAATAGCCCTACCCCATAGCAGTACCCTGGCCCCCAGCCCTGCCCCATAGCGGTGATCCCTGCCCCATAGAAGTGACCCTTGCCCCATAGCGGTGACCCCCCCTTCCCCATAGCGGTGATCCCTGCCCCATAGAAGTGACCCTTGCCCCATAGCGGTGACCCCCCCTGCCCCATAGCGGTGACCCCAGCCCCATAGCGGAGACCCCCCTGCCCCACAGCGGTGACCCCTGCCCCATAGCAGTGACCCCTGCCCCATAGCGGTGACCCCTGCCCCATAGCAGTGACTCCCCCAGCCCCATAGCGGTGACCCCCCTGCCCCATAGCGGTGACCCCAGCCCCATAGCAGTGACCCCAGCCCCATAGCAGTGACCCCTGCCCCATAGCGGTGACCCCTGCCCCATAGCAGTGACCCCTGCCCCATAGCAGTGACCCCAGCCCCATAGCGGTGACCCCAGCCCCATAGCAGTGACCCCTGCCCCATAGCAGTGACCCCTGCCCCATAGCGGTGACCCCTGCCCCATAGCGGTCCCCCCCTGCCCCATAGCAGTGACCCCAGCCCCATAGCAGTGACCCCAGCCCCATAGCGATGACCCCAGCCCCATAGCGGTGACCCCTGCCCCATAGCGGTGACCCCTGCCCCATAGCGGTGACCCCTGCCCCATAGCGGTGCCCCCTGCCCCCCAGAGCCTGCTGGAGCTGCGGAACTTCAATTCGCTGCTGGCCGTGGTGGGGGGGCTGGGCCACGGCTCCATCACCCGCCTGAGGCAGACCCTGGCGCTGCTGCCCCCCCCCGTCACAGAGGTGGGGCCGGGGGCACTTGGGGGGCACATGGGGGACAATTGGGGGGCAATTGGGGGCACATGGGGGGCACTTGGGGGGCACATGGGGGGCACTTGGGGGGCACATGGGGGACAATTGGGGGGCACATGGGGGGCACATGGGGGGCACATGGGGGGCACTTGGGGGCACATGGGGGGCAATTGGGGGGCACTTGGGGGGCATTTGGGGGGCACTTGGGGGGCAATTGGGGCGCATGGGGGCACTTGGGGGGCAATGAGGGCACTTGGGGGGCAATGGGGGCCCTTGGGGGGCACTTGGGGGGCACTTGGGGGGCACTTGGGGGGCACTTGGGGGTCAATGGGGGGCACTTGGGGGGCAATGGGGGGCACTTGGGGGGCACTTGGGGGTCAGTGGGGGGCACTTGGGGGTACTTGGAGGCGCTTGGGGGTCACTTGGGGGGCAATTGGGGAGCACTTGGGGTCACTTGGGGGGCAATTGGGGGGCACTTGGGGGCACTTGGGGGGCACTTGGGGGGCACTTGGGGGGCAGGAGGCGCTTGGGAGGTACTTGAGACGCACTTGGGGTCAGGGCACTTGGGGGGCACTTGGGGGGCAATTGGGGGGCACTTGGGGGCACATGGGGGGCACATGGGGGGCACATGGGGGGCACATGGGGGACACATGGGGGGGACAATTGGGGGGCACATGGGGGGCACATGGGGGGCACATGGGGGGCACATGGGGGGACACATGGGGGCAATTGGGGGCACTTCGGGGGCACTTCGGGGTCACACGGGGACTATTTGGGGTACATGGGGGGCACATGGGGCCATTTCGGAGGCACTTTGGGGGCACATGGAGGGCACATGGGGGCACTTTGGGGGGCACTTTGGGGGTACTTCAGGGGCACTTGGGGGGCACTGAGGGGTACTTGGGGGGCACTTGGGGGGCACATGAGGGGGCACATGGGGGGCACATGTTGGGCAATTGGGGGCACATGGAGGGAAACTGGGGGCACATGGGGGGCAATTGGGGGGCACATGGGGGCACATATGGGAAACATGAGGGCACATCGGGGGACATGGGGGCACATGGAGGGCAATTGGGGGGCAATTGGGGGCACATGGGAGAGCATATGGGGGCAATTGGGGGTAATTTGGGGCACTTGGGGGGCACATGGGGGCACATATGGGGAACATGAGGGTACATGGGGGGACATGGAGGGCAATTGGGGGGCAATTGGGGGGCACATGGGGGGGCAAATAGGGGCACATGGGGGCACATGGGGGGCAATTGGGGGCACTTGGGGGGCACATGGGGGGGCACATGGGGGCTATTTGGGGTACATGGGGGGCACATGGGGGACAATTGGGGGCACATGGGGACACATGGGGGGCACAAGGGGCTATTTGGGGCACTTGGGGGGCACATGGGGGGATCTTGGGGGGCCCTGAGGGGTACCGGGGGTCTTGGGGGGGTCCTGGGGGTAAAGCCCCCCCGGCTCTGCTCTGCTCTAAACCCCCCCCCCTCCTTGTGTTCCCTCTGTGCCCCCCCCCCCCGGCCCCCAATATCCCATTGCACCCCCACCCCCCATTAACCCTGTGTCCCCCCCACACCCCATCCCCTGTGCCCCCCACACCCCCCATACCCCCCATATCCCATTGCACCCCCACACCCCCATTAACCCCGTGTCCCCCCCACACCCCATCCCCTGTGCCCCCCACACCCCCCATACCCCCCATATCCCATTGCACCCCCCCATTAACCCTCTGTCCCCCCCACACCCCCATCCCCTGAACCCCTTCACCCCCATACCCCCGTACCCCCAAACACCCCCATTCCCTGTACCCCATCCACCCCCCATACACCCCATATCCCATTGCACACCCACACCCCATCCCCTGTGCCCCCCACACCCCCCATACACCCCATATCCCATTGCACCCCCACACCCCCATCCCCTGCACCCCCCACACCCCCACACCCTGTACCCCCTACACCCCCCCACCCCCCATATCCCATTGCACCCCCATTCCCCCCATTAACCCCGTGTCCCCCCCACACCCCCATCCCCTGTACCCCCTGCACCCCCCATACACCCCATATCCCATTGCACCCCCACACCCCATCCCCTGCACCCCCCACACCCCCATCCCCTGTACCCCATCCACCCCCATACCCCCATTAACCCTGTACCCCCTGCACCCCCATACCCCCCATATCGGATTGCACCCCCCCATTAACCCTGTGTCCCCCCCACACCCCCATTCCCTGTCCCCCCTGCACCCCCATACCCCCGTGCCCCATCCACCCCCATACCCCCATTAACCCTGTACCCCCTGCACCCCCATACCCCCCATATCGGATTGCACCCCCCCATTAACCCTGTGTCCCCCCCACACCCCCATCCCCTGTCCCCCCCGCACCCCCATACCCCCGTACCCCATCCACCCCCATACCCCCATTAACCCGACGTCCCCCCTATACCCCCCATGCCCCCTATACCTCCCACCCCCCCCACATCCCCCCCATACCCCCACATCCCCCTGTACCCCCATCCCCCCTACAACTTCCCATGAACCAATGCTGCCCTGGCCCCCCAATACCCCCCATTACCCCGTATCCCTCCTATACCTCCCATACCCCCTATCCCCTTTGACCCCCTATGTCCCCCCATACCCTCTGTACCCCCATATCCCCCCATTACCCCTATGACCCCCATACCACCATCACCCATTACTCCCGGTACCCCCATTACCCCTGTTAAACCTGTTGCCCCTATATCCCCCCATTACCCCTATGACCCCCCATACCCCCATCACCCATTACCCCCATTAAACCTGTTACCCCTATGACCCCCATACCCCCATTACCCCCATTCCCCCCGTTACCCCTCTGACACTCCTATACCCCCATACCCCATTACCCCCCATACTCCTGTTACCCCTATGTCCCCCCGTTACCCTCATTACCCCTATGTCCCCCCATACCCCTGTTCCCCCCATACCCCTGTTCCCCCCATACCCCCGTTACCCCCCATACCCCCGTTATTCCCCATTACCCCCATTCCCCCCCATACCCCCTTCCCCTATGACCCCCCATATCCCCCCATTATCCCCGTTCCCCCCTATCCCCCCGTTCCCCCCATACCCCCATTCGCCCCCATTCCCCCCATATCCCCCCTTTCCCCCGTTCCCCCCCATTCCCCCATATCCCCCCTACCCCCCATTCCCCCCCATATCCCCCCATCCCCCCATCCCCCACATCCCCCCATATCCCCCCCATATCATCCCCCCATTCCCCCCCATATCCCCCGTTCCCCCCCGTTACCCCCTTCCCCCTATGACCCCCCATTACCCCCGTTCCCCTCCATACCCCCATACCCCCCATACCCCCGTTGCCCCCCATACCCCCGTTCCCCCCATATCCCCCCATTCCCCCCCTCCCCCCGTTCCCCCCATATCCCCCCGTTCCCCCCATTACCCCTGTTCCCCCCATACCCCCATTCCCCCCATACCCCCATTACCCCCGTTCCCCCATATACCCCCGTTACCCCCCATTACCCCCCGTTCCCCCCATACCCCCATTACCCCCGTTCCCCCCATTCCCCCATATCCCCCCATTCCGCCCCGTTCCCCCCATACCCCCATTACCCCCCATATCCCCCCGTTCCCCCCGTTACCCCCGTTCCCCCTATGACACCCCATATCCCCGTTCCCCCCATACCCCCATTCCCCCATATCCCCCCATTACCCCCATTCCCCCCCATACCCCCGTTCCCCCCCATTCCCCCCCGTTCCCGCCCATACCCCCATTCCCCCCCATACCCCCATTCCCCCATACTCCCGTTCCCCCCCATTATCCCCCTTCCCCCCCATACCCCCGTCCCCCCATATCCCCCCGTTCCCCCATATCCCCCCATTACCCCCATTCCCCCCCATACCCCCGTTCCCTCCATTCCCCCCCGTTCCCCCCCATACCCCCATTCCCCCTATACCCCCGTTCCCCCCCATTACACCCATTCCCCCCCATTATCCCCATTCCCCCCATATCCCCCCTTTCCCCCATATCACCACATTACCCCCATATCCCCCCATACCCCCATATCCCCCCCATTCCCCCCCATATCCCCCCTATCCCCCCGTTCCCCCCCCAGCTGTGGTCGCGCCTGGCCGAGGCCGTGGGCGCTGGGGGCAATTACCGGCGGTACCGGGCGCTGCTGGCGGCGGGGGCGGCCGTGCCCGCTCTGGGGGTTCACCTCCGGGACCTGGTGTCGCTGGAGGCGGCGCTGCCGGACTGGGCCGGGCCCGGGCGCCCGCACCCGCACAAGCTGCGGCAGCGCTTCGGCATCCTGCGGGAGATGCGCGGGGCGGCACCGCCGTTGGGACCGCTACCGGCACCGCACCGGCACCTCCTGCGGCTCCTGCGGGTGAGGGAACGCAGCGACCACGGCTGGAGGCAATGGGAGGCAATGGGAGTCAATGGGAGGCAATGGGAGGCAACGGGAGGCAATGGGAGGCAATGGGAGCCAATGGGAGCCAATGGGAGGCAATGGGAGTCAATGGGAGGCAATGGGGTCAATGGGAGCCAATGGGAGGCAATGGGAGTCAATGGGAGGCAATGGGAGTCAATGGGAGTCAATGGGAGGCAATGGGAGGCAATGGGAGGCAATGGGAGTCAATGGGAGGCAATGGGAGCCAATGGGAGGCAATAGGAGCCAATGGGAGTCAATGGGAGGCAATGGGAGGCAATGGGAGCCAATGGGAGCCAATGGGAGGCAATGGGAGTCAATGGGAGGCAATGGGAGGCAATGGGAGGCAATGGGAGGCAATGGGAGTCAATGGGAGGCAATGGGAGCCAATGGGAGGCAATGGGAGCCAATGGGAGTCAATGGGAGGCAATGGGAGCCAATGGGAGGCAATGGGAGGCAATGGGAGTCAATGGGAACCAATGGGAGTCAATGGGAGTCAATGGGAGCCAATGGGAGTCAATGGGAGTCAATGGGAGTCAATGGGAGGCAATGGGAGTCAACGGGAGGCAACGGGCACCAATGGGAGTCAATGGGAGTCAATGGGAGCCAATGGGAGCCAATGGGAGTCAAAGGGAGCCAATGGGCAACAATGGGAGCCAATGGGAAACAATGGGAGTCAATGGGAGTCAATGGGAGGCAATGGGCACCGATGGGCAACAATGGGAGTCAATGGGAGTCAATGGGAGGCAATGGGAGGCAATGGGAGTCAATGGGAGGCAATGGGAGTCAATGGGAGGCAATGGGAGGCAATGGGAGGCAATGGGAGGCAATGGGGAGGCAATGGGCACCGATGGGCAACAATGGGAGTCAATGGGAGGCAATGGGAGGCAATGGGAGGCAATGGGAGTCAATGGGAGGCAATGGGGAGGCAATGGGCACCGATGGGCAACAATGGGAGGCAATGGGAGGCAATGGGAGGCAATGGGAGCCAATGGGAGGCAATGGGAACCAATGGGAGTCAATGGGCAACGATGGGCAACAATGGGAGCCAATGGGCACCAATGGGAGTCAATGGGAACCAATGGGAGTCAATGGGCAACGATGGGCAACAGTGGGAGCCAATGGGCACCAATGGGAGCCAATGGGCACCAATGGGAGTCAATGGGAACCAATGGGAGTCAATGGGAGCCAATGGGCACCAATGGGAGTCAATGGGCAACAATGGGCAACAATGGGAGCCAATGAGAAAGAATGGGAGCCAATGGGTAACAATGGGAGCCAATGGGCACCAATGGGATTCAATGGGAACCAATGGGAGTCAATGGGCACCAATGGGAGTCAATGGGAGCCAATGGGAGTCAATGGGCACCAATGGGCAACGATGGGAGCCAATGGGCAACGATCAATGGGAAACAATGGGAGCCAATGGGAGCCAATGGGAGTCAGTGGGCACCAATGGGCAACAATGGGCAACAATGGGCAACAATGAGAGCCAATGGGCAATAATGGGCAACAATGGGAGCCAATGGGCAATAATGGGCAACAATGGGAGCCAATGGGAGCCAATGGGCACCGACGGGCAACAATGGGAGCCAATGGGAGCCAATGGGCAACAATGGGCAACAGTGGGAGCCAATGGGCAACAGTGGGAGCCAATGGGCAACCATGGGAGCCAACGGGCAATAATGGGAGCCGACGGGAAATAATGGGCAACAATGGGAGCCAATGGGCAACGATGGGCAACAATGGGAGCCAATGGGAGCCAATGGGCAACAATGGGAGCCAATGGGCACCAACGGGCAACAATGGAAGCCAATGGTCAATAATGGGCACCAATGGGCACCGGCGGGCAACAATGGGAGCCAATGGGCAACAATGGGAGCCAATGGGCAACAATGGGAGCCAATGGGCAACAATGGGAGCCAATGGGCAATAATGGGCACCAATGGGCACCGGCGGGCAACAATGGGAGCCAATGGGCAATAATGGGAGCCAATGGGAGCCAATGGGCAACAATGGGCAACAATGGGAGCCAATGGGTACCAACGAGCACTGACGGGCAACAATGGGCACCAATGGCAGCCAATGGGAGCCAATGGGCACCAATGGGCACTGACGGGAGCCAATGAGAGCCAATGGGCACCAATAGGCATACATAGATCCAAATGGGCACCAATGGGCATAGATCCAAATGGGCACCAATGGGCGCCAATGGGCAGCAGCGGGAGCCAATGGGCACCAATGGATTCCAATGGGCACCAATGGGCATACATAGATCCAAATGGGCACCCATGGGAGCCAATGGGCACCGGTGGGAGCCAATGGGCACCAATGGGAGTCAATGGGCAACAATAGATCCCAATGGGACCCAATGGGCACCAATGGATCCCAGTGCACCCCAATGGGCACCAATGGGAGGCAATGGGCAACAATGGATCCCAATGGATCCCAATGGGCACCAGTGGATCCCAGTGCACCCCAATGGGCACAAATGGGAGCCAATGGGCAACAATGGATCCCAATGGAACACAATGGGCACCAGTGGATCCCAGTGCACCCCAATGGGCACCAATGGGAGGCAATGGGCACAAATGGGAGCCAATGGACAACAATGGCAGCCAACAGGAGCCAATGGGCACCAGTGGATCCCAGTGCACCCCAAAGGGCACCAATGGGAGCCAATGGACAACAATGGCAGCCAACAGGAGCCAATGGGCACCAGTGGATCCCAGTGCCCCCCAATGGGCACAAATGGGAGCCAATGGGCAACCATGGATCCCAATGGATCCCAATGGACACCAGTGGATCCCATTGCACCCCAGTGGACCCCAATGGGTCCCAGTGTACACCGATGTATCCCCCAATGCACCCCCAAACACCCCCTGAAACCCCAACTCCCCAATGCACCCCAAACCCGACCCCCTCACGGCTGCTGCAGGGAAGGGTCCCGAGCACCCCCTGCACCCCCCAACCCCCCCGATCCCCTCTGAGCCCCACATCTCCCCCCAGGTGTCCCTGGCGCTGGGGCCCACGGAGGCGCAGCTCTATGAGCTCTCACTGCAGCGCGAGCCCCGCACGAGCACCAGCGTGAGTGTGACAGGAGAGTGGGTGTGAGTGTGACAGGAGAGTGGGTGTGACACGGGAGTGAGTGTGACACGTGTGAGTGTGACACGTGTGAGTGTGACGTGTGAGTGTGACACGTGTGAGTGTGACACGTGTGAGTGTGACATGGGGTGTGTGTGACACGGATGTGAGTGTGACATGGGGTGTGTGTGACACGTGTGAGTGTGACACGTGTGAGTGTGACACGTGTGTGGTGTGTGTGACATGGTGTGGGTGTGACATGGATGTGTGTGACACGTGTGTGTGTGACACGTGTGAGTGTGACACGGTGTGCCCTGGGGTGAGTGTGACACGTGTGACACGTGTGTGACACGTGTGACACGTGTGTGACACGTGTGAGTGTGACACGTGTGAGTGTGACACGTGTGTGACATGGGGTGAGTGTGACACGTGTGAGTGTGACACGTGTGTGACACGTGTGAGTGTGACACGTGTGAGTGTGACACGTGTGTGACACGTGTGAGTGTGACACGTGTGAGTGTGACACGTGTGTGACACGTGTGACTGTGACACGTGTGAGTGTGACACGTGTGAGTGTGACGTGTGAGTGTGACACGTGTGAGTGTGACACGGGGTGTGACACGTGTGAGTGTGACATGGGGTGAGTGTGACACGGGGTGAGTGTGACATGGAGTGTGACACGGGGTGAGTGTGACACGCGTGAGTGTGACACGTGTTAGTGTGACATGCGTGAGTGTGACATGGGGTGTGTGTGACACGTGTGAGTGTGACATGTGTGAGTGTGACGTGTGTGTGACATGGGGTGTGTGTGACATGTGTGAGTGTGACAGGAGAGTGGGTGTGACACGTGTGAGTGTGACACGGGGTGAGTGTGACACGGGGCGAGTGTGACACGTGTGAGTGTGACATGGGGTGAGTGTGACATGTGTGTGTGTGACACGTGTGAGTGTGACATGGATGTGAGTGTGACATGGATGTGAGTGTGACATGGGGTGAGTGTGACACGGGGTGAGTGTGACACGTGTGAGTGTGACACGGGGTGAGTGTGACAGGAGAGTGGGTGTGACACGTGTGAGTGTGACACGTGTGAGTGTGACAGGAGAGTGATTGTGACACGTGTGAGTGTGACACGTGTGAGTGTGACACGTGTGAGTGTGACAGGAGAGTGGGTGTGACACGTGTGAGTGTGACACGTGTGAGTGTGACAGGAGAGTGATTGTGACACGTGTGAGTGTGACACGTGTGAGTGTGACACGTGTGAGTGTGACAGGAGAGTGATTGTGACACGGATGTGAGTGTGACACGGGGTGAGTGTGGCACGGGGTGAGTGTGACACGGATGTGGGTGTGACACGGGGTGAGTGTGACACAGATGTGAGTGTGACACGTGTGAGTGTGACACGTGTGAGTGTGACACAGGGTGAGTGTGACACGGGGTGAGTGTGACACGGGGTGAGTGTGACACGGGATGAGGTGACACGGATGTGAGTGTGACACAGGATGAGTGTGACATGGGGTGAGTGTGACACGTGTGAGTGTGACACGTGTGTGTGTGACACGTGTGAGTGTGACAGGAGAGTGGGTGTGACATGGGGTGAGTGTGAGACGTGTGAGTGTGACACGTGTGAGTGTGACAGGAGAGTGATTGTGACACGTGTGAGTGTGACACGTGTGAGTGTGACAGGAGAGTGATTGTGACACGTGTGAGTGCGACACGTGTGAGTGTGACACGTGTGAGTGTGACACGTGTGTGACACGTGTGAGTGTGACATGGGGTGAGTGTGACATGGGGTGAGTGTGACACGTGTGAGTGTGACACGGATGTGAGTGTGACACAGATGTGAGTGTGACACGTGTGAGTGTGACATGGGGTGAGTGTGACACGGGGTGAGTGTGACACGTGTGAGTGTGACACGGGGTGAGTGTGACACGTGTGTGACATGGGGTGAGTGTGACACGTGTGTGACATGGGGTGAGTGTGACACGTGTGTGTGTGACACGGGTGAGTGTGACATGGGGTGAGTGTGACACGTGTGTGTGTGACACGGGGTGACTGTGACATGGGGTGTGTGTGACACGTGTGAGTGTGACATGGGGTGAGTGTGACACGTGTGAGTGTGACATGGGGTGGGTGTGACACGGGATGAGTGTGACACAGATGTGAGTGTGACACGTGTGAGTGTGACACGTGTGAGTGTGACACGGATGTGAGTGTGACACGTGTGAGTGTGACAGGAGAGTGAGTGAGTGTGACAGGAGTGAGTGTGACACGTGTGTGTGTGACATGAACATGAGTGTGACAGGAGAGTGAGTGTGACACGGATGTGAGTGTGACACGTGTGAGTGTGACACGTGTGAGTGTGACACGTGTGAGTGTGACACGGATGTGAGTGTGACACGGGGTGAGTGTGACACGTGTGAGTGTGACACGGATGTGAGTGTGACACGGATGTGAGTGTGACACGGGGTGAGTGTGACACGGGGTGAGTGTGACACGGGGTGAGTGTGACACGTGTGAGTGTGACACGGGATGAGTGTGACACGTGTGAGTGTGACATGAACATGAGTGTGACACGGGGTGAGTGTGACACAGATGTGAGTGTGACACGTGTGAGTGCGACACGGGGTGAGTGTGCAATGGGGGGAAGCGCGTGTGCAACGCAGTGGCTGTGTACCAGCGGGGTCTCTGTGTGCGTGCAAGCAGCAGAGTCCACCCCGGGGGGGGGGGGGGGGCCGGGGGGGGGCACGGGGGGTTAATGGGGGTTAGCGGGGGGGCAATGGGGGTTAATGGGGGGTTAGCGGGGGGGCACTGGGGATTAATGGGGGTTAGCGGGGGGGCAATGGGGATTAATGGGGGTCCAGAGCCCCCCCCCCCCCCACCCCCTTCCCCCCCCCCCCCCCCCAGGCGGGGCCCCCCCTGTCTCTGCCCCCCGCTGTCCCCATGGACGAGTGGCTCCTGCCCGACCCCCCCCGGCCGGACCCGGCCCGGCTGCGGCCGCCGCTCGAGCGGCTCGTGGGGGTGGGGGGGGGCTTTTTGGGGGGGGGGGGGGGGTCTGGGGGACCGGGCGGGGGGGAGGGGATCAGGGGTCCCAGGGGGGTGATGGTGTCCGGGGAGGGAGGAGCTGGGGGTCCCAGGGGGGGTTCAAGGGTACTTGGGGGGGGGGTGGTGCTGGGGGGCGGGGTTGGGGGTCCCGAGGGGGTTGGGGGGTCCTGCTCTGAGGGGGGGGGGGTTCTGGGGGGGTGTGTTGGGGTGCGGGTTTGGGGGTCCCAGGGGGTGTTCAAGGGTACTTGGGGGGGGGGTGGGGTTGGGGGGCGGGGTTGGGGGGCCCGGGGGGGGTTGGGGGGTCCCAATCTGAGGGGGGCGTCCTAAGGGGGGGGTCAGGGGTTCCGGGAGGGGGGGGGCTCTGAGGGGGGGTCCGGGGGGGGGTTGGCGTTGGGGGGCGGGTTTGGGGGCCCGGGGGGGGGGTTGGGGGGTCCCGATCTGAGGGGGGCGTCCTAAGGTGGGGGGTCAGGGGTTCCGGGAGGGGGGGGGGATCCTGCTCTGACGGGGGGGGTCCTAAGGTGGGGGTCAGGGGTCCCGGGGGGGGGGCTCTGAGGGGGGGTCCGGGGGCGGGATGGTGTTGGGGGGCGGGTTTGGGGCTCCTGCTCTGAGGGGGGGTCCTAAGGGGGAGGTCAGGGGTCCCGGGGGGGGGGGTGTCTGCTCTGAGGGGGGGTCCTGGCGGGGGTGGTGGTATTGGGGGGCGGGTTTGGGGGTCCCGTGGGGCGGGGTTTGGGGGGTCCCGCTCTGAGGGGGGGGGTCCTAAGGTGGGGGTCAGGAGTTCCGGGGGGGGGGGCCGCTGAGGGGGGGTCCGGGGGGGGGTCCCGTTGGGGGGGGGTTGGGGGGCCCGGGGGGGGGGTTGGGGGGGTCCCGATCTGAGGGGGGCGTTGGTGGGGGGGGTCAGGGGTTCCGGGAGGGGGGGGGATCCTGTTCTGGGGGGGGGGGGGTCCAAGGTGGGGGCTTTGGGGGGTCCTGCTCTGAGTGGTGGTGTTGGGGGGCTTGGTGTTGGGGGGGCGGGTTTGGGGGTCCCGGGGGGCGGGGTTTGGGGGGTCCCGCTCTGAGGGGGGGGGGGGGCTAAGGGGGGGGTCAGGGGTCCCGGGGGGGGGGGATCCTGCTCTGAGAGGGGGGGGGCTAAGGGGGGGGTCAGGGGTTCGGGGCGGGGGGGGGCGGGGGTCCTGCTCTGAGGGGGGGTCCCCGTTTCCAGGGCATCTTCCGGGACTTCGACGTGGACGGGGACGGGCGAATCTCGCAGGAGGAGTTCGCGATCGTGGGGCAGAGCTTCCCGCAGCTGCGGATCTGGGGGGAGCTGGACACGGACGGGTGCGGACCCCCCAAAGGGACCCCCCGAAAGGACCCCCCAAAGGGAACCCCAAAGGGACCCCTCAAAGGGAACCCCTTAAAGGGACCCCCCCAAAGGAACCCTGCAATGGATCCCCCCAAAGGGACCCCCCCGAAGGGACCCCCCAAAGGGACCCCCTTAAAGGGACCCCCCCAAAGGGAACCCCAAAGGGACTCCTCAAAGGGAACCCTCCGAAGGGACCCCCCGAAGGGAACCCCCAAAGGGACCCCCCAAAGGGACATCCCCAAAGGAACCCCCCAAAGGATGCCCCCAGTACCACCCCCCCAAAAGGGTCCCCCCCAAGGGACCTCCC